GGAACAGTGAGGATGCAGGCTTTTAGTTCTGGTTCAACATATTGCTATTTTTTTTTTTTTGTCTTGGAGAATTACTTTTTAAAACATTTCCATGGCATCATTTGTTAAATGGGACAGTGATAGCATCGTGATGGGTCAAAGTAAAGATGAAATGTGATTTTAATCTTATCTATAAAGTATTTCAGAAGTGCTCACTTGGTTGGAGCACCCACCTTTCTTTGCTTTCTCCTCCTCATTATTCCTGCTTTCTAGAACACGGAATTCTAGAATCTACTGGGAAGACAAATATATGGGATTTAGTCCTATACAGTAAAAAGGTAATGGTTGTGTAAGACAAAAAGAAGTACAACTAAAAAAATTCAATGTTAGACAAGAGAAAACTCAAGGCGTTCGCTCTGAACTATTCATCTTACCTTAATCACAATATGATTATCTATAATGTAGCATTAAAAACTCTTATCTGGTCGTATCAACTTCTAAGCCTAGAATTTTGTTTCTGAAATATTTGTGGGGCTGTAGTGTGGAATTTACATCTTATGATACCAACTCCAACAGCATAGGAGCAACGGGTGAAGCAAGTATAGAATAAATGTTGATAGTTGTTAAATTTGGGGGAGGTGTATATGGGATCCATTATTCTGTTTATTAGGAATATCTGAAACTGTTAACAACGAGAAATTAAATCGTTATCTGATGTCCCCAACTTCTGCTAGTGAATCTAGTCTCTTCTCCACCTACTGGTATTTCCAACTCTGTCAACTCTGGATGACCCTGAGTAGGAGGTATCGAGAAAAAATACTTTTCTTCTTCACCAGTGGTCCTCTTTCAGGTTTCAAGTATGCCAGCTATGGTTCTGGGAGTTGGCAAACAAGTTTTTGTCCACCTTACTCCCACTCCCATGTTTTGACAGACAAGTGCTAGTCTTTCTGATGAAGAAATCCTAATCCTTTTAATCCCTGTCACTCTGGCCTTCCATACTTGCCCTTCCGTGGACCTTTCTCAGCTGTGCTCTGCCTTTCTTGAGCACCAGAACTGGTCCACCCAGGTTACACACAAGCACAAAGAGCAACCCAAACCAGAATTTCACTGAAGAAATTTGAAAGTTAACATTATGAGAACTCAGAGAGAGACAAGCATTGTGTTAAAAAAATTGTGCTAGGGAACATGAAAATTAGCCTCATTGTAAGAGTTGACAGAGTGGGATTGAGAGAAAACCAAAACTTTTTAAAAAGGTTAATTCTATTACTTCTGAGTTCTAAACTATAAAAGATGTTCATCGCATGTAGAACAAAATCAAATTACCACCATGGCCCACAGGCTGGCCTCTGTCCATCTCTCCCTCCTCACCTCTGTCTGTTCCCACCTTGCCTATTCATCTCCAGCCACCCTGCTTCCTACTGCTCTTGAGCAATGCTAATCATTGTGACTCCAGCACCTGCACCCTTGCTCTACACTCCGGCTGGATCTCCTTCCCCTCCACCTCAGATCTCACTGTGCGGTGCTTCTCTCTGCACATCCTTCAGCCCTCTGGTCAAAGGCCATTTATTGCTTTCTTGCTATTGTTCTCTGAATGAGGAGTACAGAGTTGTTTACCTTCTTCATCTCAGTTCCTCCCTATTGGAGTAGAAGCTCTGTGAGGGAGAAGACTCTGAAATGCTAACTTCTAAGTCCTTCTCACATCTAGATTAGGGCCTGACACGAGTGGGTGGCAATAATTACTTTTATATTGGTGAAGAGTGTAATTTTTACAGCCAACTTCTCTGAGCTCAAATTTCACCTCTGTCTCCTATGTGCACTTGATAAAATTATTTTCTATACACAATTTCCTTATTCGTGAGCTGGAGATAATAATAGCACCCACTCAGGTTTATCTTGGAAGCTAAGTGAGATAATACACTTAAGGTGTTGAAAACAGTGTCAAAAATGATGCACACTATTCAACAGACATTGGACGATTATGACAATGAAGAGGGAAAGAGAGAAGCAATACTAGCGGTCTTAGAGTGCTGGCTTTTTTCTACGAAAAGAATGAAGGTGAGTGCAGTGCTGCACTCTGTTGTAAAGGTGTCCAAGGTCACAGGACTGATGACAAAGGAAACTTCCTGGGGGATGGGTATTTTGTTTTGTTTTTTTTTCTTCTCAAGTTTAGGAGACAGAGGACTCACAACTCTCTCAAAGCAGAGTCCCATGCGTAGGGGACATGCTCTGCAAAGCTTCTGAGCCCAGCACAGTAAGAGCTCAACACCATTCATCCTACTGGTACTAGAAGGTAACAAGGAAAATCATGCCACTTCCAGTTAGTCACAGATGTAAGATCACATCGCAAAGGTTATTTTATTCCTCGCAAGCAGAAGAAGAGGGAATTCCTTTACAAATAGGCACATGTAATTACACAAGCTTATTCTTGATTTTGAGAATGTACTGTCAGTCATGGCCATAACTACTTGCAAACATTTTAGTTTTTAAGTAAGAATCGGATCTTTTTTTAAAGGCTGACCAGTGCAGAGACTTGTTAATGCAACCTCCTTTAATCAATGCAAATCAAGTGGAAACATGCAATCCTCTCAAGAATTACGGTTATGCTCTGGAGCCCAACAGCAATGGATGCTGAGAAGTAAGGTGTTGCCAGGCAGAATTAGGGCAGAGAGGTTCTTGACAGATGGTTTGGAAAGTACCAAAAACCTCTGTCCTGGTTGAGTGGCAGCTGCACAACCTTGTGACTAATTTCCTCTGGTGGGAGTCCACTGTTTCCTGTATTTGACACTAAATGTAACAATTTCTCCAAGATGTGGAGAAACCCCTCTGACGTGTAACTACTTTGGTAGTGAGACACAATGATGAATAAGAACACTTACAGGATCCCCAAAAAGACAGTGATTTGTATGCGGCTGTGGTTCACTTGGAAGCATGTGAATTACAATATTAGTTACTTAACATTTTGATAGCTCTTTATATGTCCTCTACAGGAGTCTTCAAGGGAGAAATTTCTTTTGAAACGTAATGAGTTGTGAAGTCTTGTACCACTTGAGGAGAGGGTGTGACTTTTTCCCTTCTAATGATAAGAGTTAGTAATTTACCAGCTATTTCTTTTCTCCCTCTTTTGGCTACCAGAAAGCTTACTTGTATTTTGACTACAGTGAGTACACAGTCCTTGCATCTTCTTATTAGTGACTCTTTTTACCCTTTTGGGTTTACTTTCTTTTATTATTATGGTTATTTTATTGAAATTTAAAATTCTTCAAAAATATCATCCTATTATTTAATTATATGCAGTGGTGTAATGAAATGTGTTTAGCTTAAGTTTTCATGGTCGTGATTTCCTTTGATTCTCATAACAGCCTGGAAGAGTGGAAATTATTATCACTCACATTGAGTAGTTGGGGAAACTGAGACTCAAAGATGTAAAAACTTGCCTGAAATCAACATATCATGTAGTGTCCATTCTTCATAAAGAAATGTATAATCCCATTTCTTTAGCAATAAAAAAACACCTTACATAGCTGTAGTAGCTTTAGGTAAGAGTTATTACTGAATCAACAATGATGAATTTTGCTTTAAAGGGTCACATAAATAATCTAAAATGAAACACATGCAAATTATAAAAGAAAGTCTAGTAGGAAATTTTTACCAATAATTATATTGGTAATTTACCAATAAGTATATGTGATTGTAAAATATTAGGCAGTTAAAGAAAGGTAAATATTTTTCTTTGATGAATTTTCTTTTTCTTTTAAAGGAGAAGGTATATGATAGGGGAAAAATGTAGGTAAAAGTTTGCTTGAAGGCAGGAGAATAGAGTATTTGACATATGGAAAATGAAAATGCTTTTGAAAGATCAGCCACCCACTCCTTATGCATTACTCATTACAGCCCACCAGGGCCAGGAGATGGGCTTTGATCTCCTTTCTAAGGTCACCGAGTTGGCCCTAATCCCAGTGCTTTGGCACCCCTGCTATGCTTGGTCCTGCAGTTAGGTGGGTTTCCTGGTCAATGAAGTCTGTGAAGATAGCACAGCCTGGCCTTGGAACACATGTGCCAACAAAATTCAAAGTACACAAGAGTCAGGTTCATCAACTTAATTTCCCAGTCTCTGCAGAGCACAGGCTCTTGCCTTCTTTCTATCTTTGTGAACCAGGACAGTGGTACCTTGCTCAGGAACACCAACCAGCTGTGCCCCCTTGGTGCTATGAGAGGGGAAACCCCACAATATCCAAGCAACATGGATCTCCTCAAATGCAAATGTGACCATAACACAATTCATTCAACAACCTCACTTATTCACAGAATTATCCTAATCATGTTTGTCTACTTCTAATTTCAGCAAAGGGTGTAAAATTTCCACACATTGTTCACCTGTTTTAAGTAACCAGGTTACGAATGACTAATACAATATTAACAATGACAGATTCTACTTTGATGTCAAGTTCAAATCCATAGTCTGGAGAATAGTTTTCTTCTACTTGAGGAAATAGAACATCATCTGAACAATTTTTTCCAGAGGGTATTCTGGTCTCTGTAGGTAAGCATTGCTTGGTTAGCAGGAACATATCATCTAGTTTCACTATCTCTTATCTGTTTCAATATTTTTATGTGCCTACACCTAATTAACGAGAAACTATGCAGGAGAAACAGGTCCATTTGCTGTGTGTACAACATGCATTGAGCATGCCTCAAGTAACTTCACAGAGATCCCAGGTTGCTGGGCAGGGATTTGAGCTATGAGATGACATTTTAAGAGCTATGTTTTGTTCCCACAGTATGTTCCATCTTTCTTGCCATCACAGAGAGGCTCTAAGTACACACTAGTTCTGAGCATCCATGAGCTACAGATGATCGACACCCTGACCCCTGTGATTTTACTGCCATCTGATCCGTTTCATTAACAGAGGCAGCCTGGTTTAGAATGAGCTTCTTGGCTACATGCTGGATAAGCATTCAGCAGTCCATGGCACAGACCATCTCAGATCTCCATATTCTATGTGTTGGCTTGTTTGACTTGCCTGGTGTGAGGAGGGCTCCTCCTTCAGATTTTCTTCTAGGTCCACACCAACTCTGTTAAAGAAAGCAGAAAGTGGGTAAACACCTGCTGGAGACGGGAGAAGGCACTCTCATCTATCACCTGACCCAAATGTGATACAAAGTCAAGGGAAGACTTGGCAGAAAACCCATCTCTGGGTCAGAAGAACCTCAAATGCATTATATCAGAATGAGAGCTTGCGTAGCTGGGCCTCTGCTCAGCTCAGCTGGGGAGACTGGGCATCAACAGCAGGTCCTCCTCACTGCTGTCCTTAACAGGACCAGGCCCTGAGGCCTGAGGTTGGGAGCACCTGTGAAAAACACCCCCAGACTCCAAAATAGGGGTCCTGGAGGCAGACAACCTGGCACCCTACAGGATTCTGATCAAACTCTCCCAAGATTATGGGTACCCAGCCTGAAGCAAGGTTCTCTGAGGCAAAGAAAGTCAAATCTTGGCATAGATATTCACGGAGGCTGGCAATAGGCAGGAAACCAGGCTATGGGACCCCAGGCTTATACAACAATTGTTTTTTTGGGGTGGATTCTTTGAGAAAATGAATACATAAATACAATATGAAATTGGGAATGAAAGAGCCTCTTTCGACAGAGAAAAAGAAGTTGCAAAAAACTGCATTTTTTAAAAGCTGGAATACTGCATCTTAAAATCTAGAAGACACACATAATGTTTTAGTTCACAGCCCTGACACACCGCTAAAATAACTTTCCTCTTATAATTTTTGTTTTGTGTACTTTGATAATCTCCTTGTATTGCAATGATTTTATATTAGCATAGGAAGATAAGGGAGTCTTTCCTCTCGCAAGATTGATCAAAGTTACTGATATCCAGGAAGCATTAAAGCCTGCTTCCTATCCACAGACACGCTTGCTGGGTGCAGTGCTGTTATGGCAATACCCCGCAAATGCAGGATTCCTGATAAATTTCATTTCACGCAATTTCCATAAACAATGTGCAGGACACTTATCAGTACATGCTTCCTTCCTGAATATATTTCTGAATTTCCATTTTGACAAGGCATCAATGAGAACTGAGTTTTATACCTCTCATGATTGGAAGGATTTTCCACAGAGTTGCTTCTGCACAGTGCATGTCAAGCCTTGGTTTTCCTCCACTGCCCACAGACTTCTGAAGCCAGGTGCCAAAGGACATGTTCATATTTAATTTGGTCTTTGTGCACTATTTTTATAAGCCTTTCCTACCCCAGGAGGGCCAGCAGTGACTTACCCACGCTCAGAAGAGACCATAGCTCAGACAAGTGTTTCCCACTCAATCCAAACCAAATACACTCTCAATTCAGTTTTCCCTGAGTCAGACCCCAAAATGCTCACAGCCATCTGACCAGAGGACAAGCGTGAGGGAAGAGAAGCTGCAGTGGAAAGGACCCAACTGTGTAGAAAATACATTCCTTTTGCAAATTTTACAAAAACACAGGACTCTGGGAACACAGCACTGGGGTTCTTCCCAGGGCCCTGTAAGGACCAGACCAAGTGAGGGGCTCTGAAGATTGAACTCTCTTCCCCAGAGAGTAGGCCTCTGGACTAGGGGGTGGGAATTGGTGGGTGTGGGGAATGGTGCCTGGCTCAGGCTCCAGCAGAGTCCCTCCTGTGAAGGCCACCTGTGCTGGACCTTCAGAGTCTTTTCTTAACTCCTGTCCCTCTCAGACAATTCTGCAGTCATGCTCCAGGCCTCTTCTCTGGGTGGGGACCTCAAGGCAGGGTTAGAAGCTCCATTCAGGTCAGGGTGTGAATGTGGGAAAGGAGAGCAGTCACAGGACACAGTTTGTTTTTTAAAATCCCTCTTATTTAAAAATTACTGTTTCCTGAGCACTAATAGCCTATCTGTCTAAGGAAGGGACCAAAATGAATAGCTGTCTGTTGTACGTCGAACTTGTGGTACTCGGGTAACTGGGGAGGGCCTCTGGGGGGGGCCTAATCTTTGATTTTCCACAGTAGAGTATAAAAAGCGATTTCAGCTACTTCACTTAAAAAGGGGGAACAGCAAATAGAGAAGAGAAGGCAAGGGGGTCCGGGAGGAGACGAGGAGGGGGAAGGGAGAGGCTCAGGAGGAAGAGCAGATGGGAGACAGGGAAGGAGTGGGTGGAAAGTGGAAGGGCATTAGGTGTGGCCTCTCCAGGTGAGTTCAGTCCTGGCAGTGACCACGGGGTGCTTGTGACCTGAGTCTGACAGTAGGGTCCTTGTATGGTAGATCTAAGCTCTCTGGTGGATGCTGGAGAGCTTTGCTACTGGAATAGTTCAGGTCTTCCCTCTCAAGGGCTGCTGGGCACTCAGGTAGGCTGGGAATAGAACTGAGCTTGTGGCACCTGTTCAGGTCATTTTTTAGTTTCTGTCTAGAAAACTGGAGAGAAAGAAATGAGATTCCATAAGAAACCCCGTGATTTAAGTTTGAGGCAGTGCTGAGGTTTTCCATTAAAATTTAAGTGCCATCCCCCCCGCCCCAACACAGCAGCAATCAGAGCAGACACTTGCAGTTGAGTTACTCTGGCAGCCAGATGGAACCCAGGGGTGATGGCAGCATATTTAGTTCTCCAGCTTCCTGTGCACAAAGCATCTCAGAGCTGTGGCTGGGAAGGAGCCCTCATCCCAGCCTCAGCCCATTTCCTGCAGGCCGGGAACTGTTTTCTGTTGGTCTGCAGCTCCTCTTGGCCAAGCCCAGAACAGACATGTCAAATGGCTTCAGGAAAGAGAAGCTCTGTGAAGGTCATGTGCCTTCTGGGGCAGCCAGGGAGAGCAAACAGCCCTCTTACACATTCAGTTTGTGAGGTTTAATGAGAAGAAAATTAAAAAAAAAATGATTGCAGTGTAGGTACCATGAAGGGGAGGTACATAAGAATGACGCCTTCTTTCACTCGCGATTTTGGCAGTTCTGGATCAAAATCTTGCTAAAATATATTACTAGGTTTCCTGCCTCCTTGAACCACGTGACAAGAAAAGGGTGCTCTAGTCTTAATGAGGCTCAGCGCGGCCCTCGGTCTTGTGAGGTCTGACACTCCCTATATTGCAGTCACTTCCGAGAGGGGTTTGAACCTCTTCATGACCACATTAAATGTTCCCTGGCTACTATTATTTTTCTTTTTAAAATTCCTACCAGTTAGATTGCCTTGATTTCCTGCCTGTGATCATATACTTTTAGTGTATTGTTCCTATATCCGCCTCCCACCTCCTTTTAACTGAGTTCAGGACTTATAACCTGATAATCAAATTTAACACATTTTTCCTTCCACATTTACAATGTCTATCTATCTATCTATCTATCTATCTATCTATCTATCTATCTATCATCTATCTATCTATCTCTTTCTATCATCATCTATCCATGATCTCTCTCTCTATCATCTATCTATCTATATCTATCCATTTCTATTTATCTATTTATCTATCTCTGTCTATTTATCTATCTATCTATCCAAAGAAGAAAGTTCAGATATTGTAGAAGTGCTTACAGGAACACACAGCTGTTCTTTACTTCACTCCCATACAGCCCCAGACCAGTTCCCCCCTGCCTCTGAGGGCCACTTTCTTCCTTTCTTTGATTATGTGTGGCACATCCACCACATCCCTGAGGTTATGCAAACATGTTGGCTGCATCTATAATTCTTACTCTAATCAAGAAAGCAAGTCAGAGTGCAAAAGAAATGTATTTTAGGACTAACCTGGTAGGCATTCACTTTTATGCATAGAAGATAACTTACACACTATGGGTTTTTGAGAGCTTATTAGAAACAAGACATGTTGTCACCCCATCTCGTGATGCTACTTGTGTGCATTGTAGCTACCAACGTGAGATCACAGGTGTATGGGATGAAGTCCAAACTGCTTAGGTGCTAGTTAAGGCTCTTCAGCACCCCTGCATCAGTGCCAAGCTCTCTTCTGCTCATCTGATCTGGACACATACACTGATGTGTAGTAACTGGACTTGTCCATGCTTCAAAGTCCAGTACCTAATACTGCCTATAAACTCTATCTGTAACCCGATCTGCCAGTGCCTTTCCCACAGCCTGACCCCTTCCTCTAAACTCCAGGCTGGTAGTTTGACCATGCTGTCCACCACTGGGCTTCTGTTATATCTTGCTTCCTTTCTTGACCTTCCAAGCACTTGGTCCCCCATTTCTGATCCACTGTGGCTCCTTCATCAGGCTATCCTTCCTGGCTCTCAGATCCTTGTCCTTTACTTGGATTGAACTATGTGTACTCCTCTGGCTCTGTGTTCTATGTGGCCTGTGATCACTCTTCTTTGTGGCCACTGTGGCCTGCTCTTTGTCCACCTGTTTGATTAAATCCAGCCATTCAGGGCAAGCTAGTGCTCTGCCTAATTTTTCAGTCCTGCTGGAATCTGGGGCTCTAGGAGCACCCTTCAGTTGATGGAGAGTTAAGATGGTAGCTAGCTGAGTTGAGAAACATGGTTCTGCCTCTCAATCACTCATGTCGTCTTGGTCTTGGTTTCTTCACCAATGCAAAAGGAGTAATAACAGATAAGTGAGAAAATATTTATAAAGTGTTTAGCTTAGGACCTGGTACACAGAAAGCTCTTAAGAACTGTTAGCAGCTACTCTTGATAGTACTTTTTAATTATTATCAGCAGCATTTTTTTTGTTAATGGTGGAAGAGCTCAGTGCTGCCCCATTCATTGCTCATTAATCTCTAAAATGAACCTTTTTATCCTGGAACCTTCACTGAGGGATCATTGAATTTATAGTGACAGCCACACGTGAGCCATAGGGAGTGACCAGTACACAACAGGAATTTCTGATCTCATAGTAGAACATCACTTCTCTCTAAGCAGGGCCAAGCTTCTCAGATAGGGATTTATTTATCATTGATTGGTAGGCTAGTGGGGTGAGAAGGCAACAGAGCAGGAAAGGAAGATACCTAAAGAGCAAAGGGAAGGAAGAGGAGGTGAGAGCTGAGCAGGACGAAAGCAAAGAGAAGGAATGCGACAAGGAAACACTACAGAGAAAAAGAAAGAAATACATCATTATACAGAATGAGTGCAGGTGGTG